ATTTTTATTAATGTTAAAACTTTATGTAACATACGGGTTTATTCAAATTGGTTCTAATTAAAGTTAATAGACTTTGAAATCTTTCGTGATCTCAGCTGTTTGTTCTTAATAAGTAATTGTCCATATAGCAATAGCCAATCATGATACGTAATATTATGTGTTAGCATTATTGGACCATTGTCCAATGTCCAATACCCTTTGGTCCAATGGATTGGACAAGAGTGGTCCAATGTCCAAGCCCAACACTGCTTTGCTCCTTCTTGATGTCATTTACATCCTGTCAACCGATTATCGATACTCAACCGGTTGTACGGTGTCAACCGATTAAGAATTTACTCAACCGGTTACCCAAAATTTAACCGATTATAGCCCAACCGGTTCAAATCACTAGATGTAATCATTGCGTAATTCTTTTGTACAGTATGTCGTTACTATGTCGTTTCTATTACTTCTTTTTTTTTTTTTTTTTTACAGACTAAACTAATGTGCTTAACGCAGGATGTTAGTAGTAGTGTATTAAGAGAGTATATAAGGAGTAACGAGAGAAGTAATAGTGAGTAGGCTTGGCAATATTTTGTAAATAAGCATTACAAATAAAATAAAATTGTTATAATCGCTCTCCCAATATAATAAACTTATTCTAAAAACAAATCTTACCTATCCATAATGTCTACGATACTGACTAAATTGACCTGTGTGTAGTTTACCGTATTTACGCGTAATAACGCGCATGGGCGTTATTTCGAAATCTTGACTTTTTTAAAAATTGCCAAATTTGACTCAAAATAACGCCCATGCGCGTCCCGAAATAACGCGCCCCTCAAATTAGAGATTGTACCCAATATAAATTTCAACTCCGGGTTCAATAAAATAAATTAAAGTGCCCTTCTCTATAATTTTTTAGTTACTAAAAATTTACTAAATGATTCAAATTATCGCGCATGCGCGTTTCAAAATAGCGCGCAGGTGCTCGAAATAACGTGCACCTGCGCAGTATTATGCGAAAATATGGTATGCTCCCCATATCATTACACTGGTCAAACTATATCTTAAAGCTGGCCAAAATTAATCTTAATTCCGCAGTAATTTACCAGGGATTTAGGGTAACCTACGGTAATTTAACTGGGTTTGGGTCAAAATCCTGACAAACAGAATCCCGACAAACAAAAATCCTGACAAAATTGACTAACACTATGCTAACCCTAATCCTAATGCGGGCTAATCTGTCATTAGTAAATTTGAGTGATAGTTAATTCTGGCCCAACCGACTATGAATTTGGGGACCCTCCTGTATGGATGTTGAGGCACAACATATATGATATATCATCATATAAAACAAAACTTTCGCTCACTAACTGTAGCTTAGCTTAGGACCTCATCTTGTATTAAAGTTTCGAGATTTCTATTTCTCTGGAGGTTCGCATTTTGCTAAAGGTTTCGTCTTTCGTCCTTCTCCTATTGTCAGGGTTTCGCCTTTTGTCAGGGTTTCATCACCTTTCATCTTTTCTGGGTTTAGGTTTCGTCTTTCATCATTTACGCGAAACAGTTTTGTCTAATTATTATATTTTGATCTCAAATTTTATATAAATTTCAATAATTAGTTGAAATTATGTAATAATCAAATTTTTCAGTAGTCCTGCTTAATGATACCTCTCGAAACTTGAAACTTTTGAGAGCATCGATATCAAAACTGGCTTGAAACTAGTTTCAACAAAATTTTATTTTTGAAACTTCTCGAAACTCGAAACTCATATTGAAACTCGAAACTTGTATCGAAACTCGAAACTTGTATTGAAACTTAAAACTCATATCAGAACTCGAAACTCAGGAACATAACCCAGTGATCTATATGATTTCATTTTGTTTACTAGCACTAACAAAATCAATGTTTTAATAAAAATGAAATATTTTATGAAGTAAATATTTTTTTAAAATGAAATACTTTATTGAAGTAAATATTTTTTTTAAAATGAAATACTTTATCGAAGTAAATATTTTTTTAAAATGAAATATTATAGTAAATATATTTTTTTAATTTTAATAAAATAAATTTAGGGAATTGATATTCGTACTAGTGATGTTACCCAAACCCGAATGGGACAGTTTTGGATTTCTACCTAATTTGGGATTGGAATTGAGATTTATCGTAATCCTAAACTGTATTTCAAAACCAAGCCTGTCCCATTTTTTTAGGCATCCCAAACCTAGTAAACAAACAAGCAATTATGTGTAGTATTTGAGCATATCAGGTCATTGGGCAAATCATATGATAATATAACATTGTTCTGATTGAAAGTTTGATGGTTAATATGTTCGAATGTTTAATGTATATTGTTATCTTAATAAAATTAGACAGTTTTTATCATTTTAATATATTATCATTCTAATTGAAAGTTTAATAGTTAGTTGTTTTGATATGTATATTGTTATTTCAATTATAATAAAAATGTTTTTCAGTAAATGTTTGTGTATTTAATCATCATTTTTATAGAATTTGTAATTACTAATTGTTAAAGAAACATTATTATGGAGCAAAATTTATCTGATGAAATTTTGGATATGGTAACTCAAAATACTGAAACTTTCAAAACAGCAAATATTAATCAAGATGAAATAAAAAATACTGCTCAAAATAAAATGGAAATTATTAATTCAAATGAAATGACTACATTTCAAAATAGAACAGTTATAAGAAAATGGAAAGTTAAAGTAATAAGTAAAGGTAGACATCTAAAGGCTACTATTTGGAAGGATTTTGATCTTGAAGAATCCAATGGTAAAAATCATTATGGGGCTAAATGTAAATATTGTCTTAAAGGAAAATGATAATGTGGTAAACCTTCTGTGATGGAATCTTATTTAGCTTTACATTGTAAGGGTGATGTTTCTAATAATATAAGGCAAAAATGATTAATTCAAGTTACTAAACAGAATGAAAATATTAAAGATAGCATAATAGTGATAATAAAAGTTCATCATCAACTTCCAAAAAATCTAAAACTTTAAATTCTAATTTTAAGATAACTGAGCCTGTATTAGATGAGCAAAGTAAAGAATTTGATAAAGCTTTATTTAAAGTTTTTATTAGTGGAGAAGTTTCATTTTTTTTTGTTGATAATCCATTTTTTTGTGATCTACTTAAAATGCTTGAACCAGGATATACTCCTTCTGAACAATTAACATTAGCAGAACATATACTTGATAAAGAAGCTACTTGAGTAACAGTATAAGTTAGCAATTTATTTGAAAAAGAATAGTACTTAATATTAGGTAAAATTAAAAAATTTATTTTCATATTAATTATATAATTTATTTAATTATAAAGTAAGTATGCCTAATTTGACACAGTGCCTAATTTGACGCATTAATGATATCTCATATTTTAGTGACTATAATCATGTGATTTTAGTACTAATTGATTCATTTCACTGAGCCAAATTGAATGGTACTGAAAAAATGTGATTCAAATCACTAGAACACAAGATATTATTTTTTGACTAGCTTATATTAAGT